TGTGCCGGGGTGGCCTGAGCACAACCAGATGGGAACGTCAGGGCTGGTGCCATCATCCCCATCCCCTTCTCCCATGGCAGCGAGCTGTACGTCCAAGAAGGTTGGCATCATGTTCCTGGTGGAGGTGGCCCTGGGCAAGCCTTACCGCATCACCAGTGATGACCCCACGCTGTCTCAGCCGCCCGCCGGCTATGACAGTGTCCTGGCCTGCGGCCAGACAGAGCCAGGTGAGCCTGGGGCAGGAGGGTCCGTGGGGTCTGTGGGGCTGGGGTGGGCACAGGACAGGGGGTAGCGAGGCCAGATCTTGGGCTTGACATGGTCGTGGGGGGTGTCTTCTCACCCAGACCCCGCGCAGGATGAGGAGGTGCTGCTGGATGGCAAGAAGGTGCTGGTGTGCCAGGGCAAGCCCATCCCCATGCCCGCCTACAAGGACTCCTCCTTCAGCCAGAGCGAGTACCTTATCTACCAGGAAAGCCAGTGCCGGGTCCGCTACCTTGTCCAGCTCCAGTTCTGAGGGAGCCTGGGCACCCCGCGGCCCCATCCCAGCACCAGCTGGTGATGCCCACCAGCCCGGAGCACAGTGGTCTGGACTCTCTGGCCACTCCACCTGGGGCTTGGGAAGGGACAGGCTGGCGCGGGGACAGAGCATGCTTTGACCATGAATAAAGACATCGTGTCTTGCACTGAGCGGTGCCGGCGCTTTCCTGCCTGGCAGTGCGGGTGCGGAGTAGGGAAGGGTGGTGGTGTGTCCCTGCACGGACGGCGGCGGGTGGCTCTGAAGGGACTGCAGCCTGTTGTGGCTGTCCAGTGCTGGCAGCCTTCAGGTGAAAGCTGGTGGCTTTGTGAGCCTGGTGCTCCCATCACCATAGCAAGGCATGCGGCTTGTGTCCATCAACGTGGCATCAGAGCTACAGAGGACGAGCAAGATGTGCTGCCATGCCTGGGCATGGAGGAGCTCATCCATCCATCCATCCATCCATCCATCCATCCATCCATCCGGAGGATGGTGCCATTTCGTGCCATACCTGATGCCCTTCCCCAGCCGGGAGCCCATGCCAAGCCCCTCTCCACCCTCACATGTGCCCCCTGAGCACGTGTCCGGGTCCCCAGGGTGCCAGGGAAGGGCAGCTCCCAGCTGGGTTACCCCGATGCCCCATGGATGCTCCAGGGCATCCGCACACCAGTGGG